AATATGTCTAAATTTGAGATCGCCAGTGGTCTTGCATACTATTTCAAACCAAGGGTACCGGGGAATAACGACAATAGTCCATCCGGACTGATTTTGAGAAAATCGGTAATTAAGCTTTACTTACTTGTTGGAAAATAAAATTGATGAAAAAATAAGCCGTAAAGAATATGCTAGACCGTGTATTTAAGCTCTCTTTAGACTGTAAAATCGCTCACTCCTTTTTTGATGTAGTGTCTTCTCAAGTATCTTTTTCTCCAAATTATTACTTGCTGACTGTCTAGTTTGTTCCGTGTGGGAATTTAAGGAAGAGGTAAGTGAAGATATATCAGCTTTTAAGGAATCACACACTTTTCGTGGATAACCGAACGATATATTGAAGTTGTTTTCAAAGATTTCTCGGAAGGATTAATAGGAAATCTTGTTTTCAACATTGCCAATAGAATGCATTTTGTGTAATTTGCGATATTTAGATTTTCAGGTAGGTACGGCCGATGCAACGCCGCCTTTCCATATGGACTGATGCCGTTTTTCCATACACGCTCTGGGACTTATGCCATTCTTCCCCTGCACAGGAAATCTTATAGCTGTTGTTTTGTGAACCTTAGCCCTTTTCACAATTTAAGAAGCTGATTACAATTTAGCCACATAATGGACTACTGCCGTTTTTCCCCGGTACCCTTCAAATAAATCACTAAAATACCAGCCCATGGCACTCTCATGGAATACGGTACAAAGTCGCCTTTCCGGAGAGAAGACTTTTCAGGATAATGTTATCTAAATAAATATAATCGCTGATGCTTTGGGAGCAGATAGAAACTCACGCATAACAACATCATCAGACAATTTTTCCCAATTTTTGACAGGTTTTTTCCTTTCCGGCCCACTGTGTGAATAATAAGACGAATTTCGCGTTATTCGTCAGCAGTTGTATTGCTGTGTAGTGTGCATATACTCAAACGGTGCCTCCTCAGTTTGGTTTAGATGCGATGATGCAACTCTAAAAATACCAGCCCAGAAAAAAAGAACTGGATTCGCTAAAAGCATTTCTTAAATATTTGGACTGTGTATAAGCGTCTGCCAGCCAAGACGTTTACACTCAGTCAACGCGAAATAATTTAAAATGATATCTACAAAGGAAGCCCTCTAGAAAAAAATCCCTTTAATAAATGGCCTGTGATTAATTTCATAAGATTTAATGTGTGCAAATTGATGGCAAGGAATTTAAGTCCATTGGACTTGGAAGCCACTTGCGTGCATTATTATTTTTGCCTCGTCGACAAAACAAAGCTGGCAAGGTGTTTATTTTTTTGTCGTTGTAATATTATGTTCGATGATTTATAATAAGGTACTCGTGTTCATTTTAATTGTAAAATGATGATAATATAATATTTCCTGTGTTACTATCCTTGAAAAGTTTTTTATATATGAACGGGCGGTAAGCATATTTTAATTAATTTTCTGGCTGTAAATGCCAGAACCCGGTGACATATGATCACCACACTGAACTTAAAGGTTCATGTTTCTTCTCGCATTAGTTGCCGCAGCGTTTCGTATCTTCGCGGGCCATAAAACCTCACTTTAAGTCCTTGATTCATAAATAACTGTTATGCAATAGTTGTTCATTTATTGCTTCGCGTAATCATCCAAAACTGCTTTCTGAATAATTTTCCAACACTCCCTACGGAAAATATTAAACCATATACCAACTTTTGGGACAAATATTTTCAAATTTAAAATAGTGGATTTGCTCCAAGCTGTGAATGCAATTTTCATTCAATAGTGCTTTAGTGCTATTTAACTTTTAAGTTACCATTTTTTCAAACATAATGTTTTTTACGAAATTTATAATAACATGTCTGAATACACTGGTGAACAAAATTAAAACAATTTTTTGTGACATGGACAAAACAAGGTGGTTATTATGCAAAATGTACCCAAAAAGACGGAAACAGCATTCGATTTTTCACACTATCACCCACGGTTTTCTTGCAATAAGGCATTTTATTTGCTGCTTATACTCGTAAAATATAAGGATACGTGTGCAAGAGTACTAATAAACACTCGAATAAATATTAATCTCAGAATGTTGTTTTCGATGTTTTACGGCGATTTGTTGCTCCTGAAGTATCTCTTAACAACGTCCAGCAATAATCAGCAAGCAAATTGATACTCCATTTGCCTTGATACCGTTTTTCCATAGCAGAAATGTGTTGGTGGAACCGTTCACCATGTTCATCACTTACCGCACCTAAAGCGAGGTAAGAATTCAAAAAGTGAATCACATAACACACCTAAATTTTCCGGAAAAAAATCGAGATGAGAATCCAATTGTCCGCCTTCACATTGCCTAAAAAAATTGCAGTAACTGATTTAAACGCATTCCAAGCTCGTACTTCAGTTTCATTTAGAGCACTGTCAAATACATCATCCTTCATGACGTTCCCTGTTTGTGGACCCACAAATATGCCCTCTTTAATTTTTGCCTCAACGTTCACTAGCAATGAGGCCATTAGTTAATACCTGACGTTGTGGCCGCTCCTTCTGTTCATAATGACGATCTTGCGCACGACTGTCCAATTCACAAAGAAAACAATAATATTTGGTATATCCCAGTTGCATTCCAAGAAGATGGGCTATTTTCTTTAAAACCGCACATATGGCCCATCCATATTCATTATAACGGATATGCTCTAACAGAACTCGCATATTTTGATATGATTCCTTCATATGAACTGCGTACGTTATAGGCACAGATGGATATTTATTACCGTTGTGTACCAATACCGCTTTTAAGCTACGCTTAGAGGAATCAATGAACAGGCGCCAATCATTTGGATCATGTTTCTGTCCTAACGCGTTAAACAAAAAAAAGTAATGTTAACATTCACCGTGGAGAAGATTCCATACTTTTAATCTTGACGCTAAAAGTCTTGACTGGGATTTTGACAGATTTAATCCTCGAACTAAGTCATTAAGTTCGCCCTGAGTGATCAAATGCGGCGCTGCTGAACATCCTGGCAGGTCAAACGAAGGATCGAAAATCTTTACGCTTTCTGTACCATCACTTTCAGAATCGGTGGATTCGACTTTTTCATCCTAAGACCAAGATTCTCGTGGAACTGGGACAGAAAGTTCATCACTATGCTTAACAGGCCGCAAAGCTGATGGTAAATTAAAATACTTAACAGTATGTTTCGATTTTGGTCCAATACCTTCAATATTTGTCAGGCAAAAATAGCAATCAGTAGTATGGTCTTTCGGTTCTCTCCAAACCGTTGGTAACGCAAAGGGCATTTTACGATTACCGCCTCTACGTTTTTGGGATTTAAAAGTTAGCTCTCCGCACACGCAACATAAACTTTTTGCACTATTTACACAATTTATAGGCATTGTCCATAAAGCTAGTTTCGATCACAATGAACTAAAAACAACACACCGTTTTAACAAAAACTAACAGTACTCAGAACATCTCAGTACTCTTCAACACAGAAAACGTAACTGACTGGCTGCTATTAGTCTACTAATAAACGCAATATGCTCTCTAAGCATAGAGCTCGCATATAGACAGGTCTTAACATTATATATGTGCGTCATCGCATAACCGCCGAGAAATGCAGCAATATGAGTACGTATTGTAATTGATAAAAGTAGATGTTGCCGAATATCTGTGGGCGATAGAGAAATTTTGTTTTTAGATTTGTTTTAAGGGTCTCAAAATACATAAGATACACCCAAAAATTGTCATGTCACAAATCCTGTGTTTATCAGTGATATCAGTATCCTGCTAAAAGCCCATGCAAATATTATGAGTTATCTAAAACGCGACGCTGGCAAATTTAATTTGAAACATATGCAAATACACTGTCTGAATACAATACATGTGTCATTAAAAATTTCAGATATTACCAAAAGTTGTAACCAAATGCAAATACATTAAATTGACAGTTGGTGACTCAGATAAAAAATATATTACAATACGATAAAATCTCAGTGCAAACAGTTACTGAGAAAAATATTTCTTGGTAATCGCATATCTGAAATTCCAGTATCACAAATCAGAGGTGTTAGTGTATCACATTACAAATAATAATTACAAGTACCTGGCTATAATAATTTCACAAAAAGTAGATAATTATGACTATTAAACCATGACTGTATTTCCTCACAATTTTTGCTGTACATCATTAGGAGGTCAAAGAACTATCTATTATTTTTTTTATTGTATTGACTGTGCAAAATTAAATAATAGAGTTGTTACGTAACCTTAACACGCCTTATGATTATTGTTATTAAATATTTTACAACGCCAATTTGTTTTTTCGGTACCACATCAGTCAGTGACCTATACGTTGTAGTTCAGTCATATACGTTGTATTTTGAAATTGCGGAGTCAGTGGATAATTGAAGATAAGAGTTTCTCCATATTTTTTAGTAATAAAAAATTCAGATCAAAGTTTGTAATATGTTCACTTATTGTCTTTGTCGGTAAATGAAAATTCAGATTCGGTACTGCTCCCCAATTGCTGAGCGCAGTAGTGTGTAACGTTCCCTGGGGAATGATCCCAAATTTTATTTATCCACCAAGTTTGTGACTACGTCTATTTTCAGCAAACTAATATGTTCCTAGGTGTTACATATCATTAAGCGTTTCATCACGAAAAGAAAAGTTCATCAGTTCAGGAGACCAAGGGACGACGGCGAGACTTTTACTCCCGAGAGTGAATCAAGAAGCGATGATTTTATCCGTGCTTAAGACCTCTATTTTTTAAAATGAGGCAGTAGAGATATAGAGAGCGTGGTTCTCTTCCTTGGGGAATGGTACCAAATTCTGACAGCTGTTGACATGTGTGAAACAAGTTTGTGAATACATTTATTTTGTGCAAAATAATACGTTCCTGGGTTCTTATCATTAAACGTCCTACACCTTTATATCACAAATTAACTCCTAGGAATACATGAATACCGCTCCCCGAATGACAAGAGAATTATAGTACGTCCACTTTGTATTAGTGGTTCTACGAGGGATGTCTTTTAAGTTTTGCATATGGAAATAAAACAACACGGTAGGTAGTTTTAAACGACTTTTATTGTTTTTCTAAGTATTCTCCACGAAGATTAATACACATCTGCATGCGCTCGAACCAATTTTCGAAGCACTTATTCCACTCGTTTGCTGGCAGATCCAAAACGGCATTTTTGAATGCTTCAACTGCTTCTTCTGGTGACTGGAACCTGGAAACGCAGTCTGTTTTTAATTTTCGGGAAAGTAAAGAAATCGTTAGGACTTAGATCAGGACTATATGGAGGATGGTCCAATAATTCCACGTTTTCTCCGGTTAAATACTGCCTTGTTTTTTGGGCTGTGCCTTTGGTTTCACGAATACGCAGGGTCGTAAGTGGTTGTTGAAATGTGTATGTTAGCAGTGCCTTTCTTAGCATTCCAAGGGCCAAGCGATACTTTTACAGGGTGACTCACGTGCAGAAAAGTGTCTAAAATATTGTGTATGCTTATATTTGATGAGTTTTTTCGTTCCTGTCAACACTTTCCATTGAATCCCAACAAACGCGTTTTCTCATCATTTGTTGTTGAATAAAAAGTTTTCCCACAAAAGTTGGTGTACCCATTTTATGCGTCCATGTTTCAAGTACCCTCTTGAACAATTTCCATCAATAAAACCAGACTTAACAATTATTCCGGAGAAATTTGCTAATACGATTAGACTATCAATACAGTATCTGAGTTTCAAAAGATTGCAATTTCGGGTAACTTTTACAATTTATTAATAATAATAATAATAATAAACTTGCTGTTCCTGACTTCAGCTGTTTTTGCATGTAAAAGGGTTAGTGGTGCATAAATTGAACAATCATATTCTTTATTGCTTCATATTGTATAGTAAACATACGATAACGAGCCCCAAGCAAGAGTATTCAAAAAGAGTAGGAGAACCTCTTAGTTATATAAAAACTGAACAATGAGGACAAATGTTTAAAAGCTTATATGCATATAAAAGGTTGTCCAATAGGGACGCAGGACGCAGGAAAGTAAACGTCAATTTGACATAGACGCCATATTTGTTTTCTGTCACCGACATGTCATTTTGTTAGTTGAATGTTTACCATTGATCGCTATGGAGTCGTATTCGATTGAAGACCGCATTAAAGTTATTCAAGAGCACTACAAAAATGGTGCAAAAATAAAAAAACACGTTTCGCGCGCTTCGTGAACATTTCGGTCGCAACAACCGCCCAAACGAAACAACCATCAGTCGTCTGGTGCGTAAATTCGAAGCAACAGGTTCTGTGGCAAATCTGCCAGGCTCTGGCCGGCCAAGGAGCGTTCGCACACCGGAAAATATTGCTGTTGTGAAGGAAAGTGTGAGAGACTATCCGAAACAATCAACAACGCGTCGATCCCAAGACATCATTGCCGAGATAAATGCCATAGAACCGACCATGTTGCAAAATGTCATTGAAAATTTCGACCATCGCGTGGACGTCTGTAAATCCAGTCGTGGTGAACATTTGAGCGATATTATTTTTCATACATAAATGGTATAAATGAACCTTCAAAATAAAGCACCCAACTTGATTTGAATATCAATCTTTCTTGTTTTAATATGCGTTTACTTTCCTGCGTCCGTTTTGGACAACCCCATATTTTTTTTTTTTTTATATCGAAACAGCCGCGCAGGCAGAAGCCTAAATTCCGGAACACCGCGGCTGCTATGATGATCCCAAAGAAATTTTGTTAATACGATTTTTGAACTGCCTAAGGTTAGTAGAACTGGGAAAAGCTTCCTCCCGTAGATTGTTCCACAATCTAGACACCCTCGGGACAAAGGAGCGGTCGTATCGGCCAGTTCTGGATGTACGAAGTTTGACACGGTTAGGATGGGACGCCGAAGTCAGGCGGGTCTGTCTGGCAGGCACATCGCGCGGCGGCATCATACAAGAGAGCTCTGAGGAGCAAAGCCCGTTGGTGTAGCGATAGAAAAGAGCTAGATCGCCGACGGCCCGCCGGTGCGAAAGAGTCCCGAGACTGTCTGTTAGAGAAGAGTCATCGATCAGTCGGACCGCCCTCCTCTGGACAGCATCGAGCATGGACAATGTAGTCGGGGCGGCGGCACCCCAAATGTGTGAGCAATACTCGAGGCTAGGCCTTATCTGGGCCTTGTATAGAGTGAGAAGGTCATGCGGAGAAATGTACTTCTTATCCCTAAACAAATAGCCTAGCTTTTTCCCAGCAGCTGCAGCTATTGAAGAGATGTGTTCGTGCCAGATCAGGTCCTCGGTGATCTGGACTCCGACCAGCCGAAATGAATGGCTCTTTGGTAGAACTCGACCGTCCATCGAAACTGTATGAGCGCTAGGACGCTTTTTGTTCGTCAAAGTACAGTACTGTGTTTTGGAAGCATTGAACTGTACAAGATTGTTGTGTCCCCAAGCAGTGATAGCCTCCAGGTCTCTTGTCAGAGAAGAAGTCGTCGCTAGTCTTCTTTTTTCCAGCTCAGCGGCAGAGATCGGCTTGTCACTCTGAATTCCTGCATGTAGAGTGCTGTCATCAGCGAAGCTGTGGATTGGGTTGATCGTGCAGGAAAGGAAGTCGTTGATATGTAAGAGAAACAGTGTTGGAGCCAAGACCGATCCCTGGGGAACACCCGCGTTGACGTTGTGGGATGAAGAGGAGAATCTGTCAATTACGACGGATATCTTGCGGCCAGAGATAAAGTCAGCCACCCATCTGCAAAGCTTTTCTGGGAGGCCGTAGGATGGAAGTTTGCTTAAGAGGGCAGCGTGCCACAGCTGATCGAACGCTTTCGTGATGTCAAGAGCAACGTCATGAGCCTCACCATGAGACTGGATGAGTTTACTCCACAGTTGCGTGACGTAAGCTAGGAGGTCCCCTGTGGATCGTTGGTGCCGGAAACCGTACTGCCTGTCGCTAATCAAGCTGTGACGTTCGAGGTAGTCCAGAAGCTCGCGATTTATGCACCTCTCCATCACTTTACTTATAACAGAAAGCAGAGCTATAGGCCTGTAGTTGTAGGGGTCGGTTTTAGATCCTTTTTTTGGGATGGGCTGTACATGAGCAAATTTCCAGTTTTCTGGGAAGGTGCCGGATTCATAAGATATCTGGAAGAGACGCGAAAGAACTGGAGCAAGCTCCGCTGCACATCTCTTCAGTACAATGGCAGGAATCAAGTCCGGACCAGAAGCTTTGTTGATGTCGAGCGACAAGAGCACTCGTCTTACGGTCTTATGCCTGAATGTTACCTCCCGCATAGTGTGGGGAACCCTTTGAATTGACGGCACTTGGGCGTTGGTGGGGACGTCCATGGTGGAGTTGGCAGCAAAGATCTTGGCTAACACTTCCGCCTTGGCCTTTGAGTCGAATACAATAGTTCCATCCTGACACGTAAGTGGTGGAAGGCTACTGTGTGAGAAGTTCTTTTCAATCTGCTTGGCCAGCGTCCAGAAAGACCGACTGCCATTGCGCTGCGACATTACCCTGTGCCTAACTTTTATATCATGCTGGTTTTTGGCATTGCGAACCGCTTCGTTATATTTGTTTCTGGACTCGACGTCGGCTTGTTTGTTCTCTACAGTGGGGTTTTGTAAGTAGGTTCTGTGGGCCTTGATCTTCTGCTGGCGAGCAGTGTCACACGATTTGTTGAACCAGCCGTTGGACCCTGGTTTAGGAACTTTCACTGTGTGAGGGATGTATTCCTCCATTCCGACGTGGATAATTTCGGTTATTGAAGAACAGACAGTCGACGCATCCGCGTCAGTGAAAGAGACATCTCTCCAAGGAAAGCTAGAGCAGAAGTCTCTGAGCCCCTCCCAGTCGGCATGTCCGTAATGCCAAGTTTTGCGGCCTGTGCGAGTTTCTGCTGCCACAGCGGCTTCGGACCGAAACCTAACCTCCACAACACCGTGATCTGAGTTATATAAGAAAAGGCCAGATTAGTGAAGGCATTATACTCATCGAGGAGTACTACACCAAGTGGAAGGCTTGAGAGATACTTCTGCCAACACGAGGGATATCTTTTAAGATTTGCATATGGAAATATAACAACACGGTAGGTAGTTTTAAATGACTTTATTGTTTTTCGAAGTATTCTCCACGAAGATTAATACACATCTGCATGCGCTCGAACCAATTCTCGAAGCACTTATTCCACTCGTTTGCTGGCAGATCCAAAACGACTTTTGAATGCGTCAACTGCTTCTTCTGGTAACTGGAACCTTTGACCACGCAGTCTGTTTTTAATTTTCGGGAAAGTTAAGGAATCGTTACGACTTAGATCAGGACTATATGGAAGATGGTCCAATAATTCCATGATTTCTCCCGTTAAATACTGCCTTGTTTTTTGGGCTTTGTGCGAGCTTGCATTGTCTTGGTGGAGGATGATTCTTCTTTCGGATTTGATTTTTCGAAGCTCGGTGATGACTTTTGGCAAACAAATGGTGGTATATCTACCAATCCGCAGTAACAGTTCTTTGTTCATTAAGAGGAATTGTTGCAATATGACCCGCTTTTGATACAAATGTCGTGACCATCTTTTTCGAAACACTTCGAGAACGAATGACTTTTGTTGGCTTTTCTTCACCCTGGAACACCCAAACAGCCGACTGTCGTTTATTTTCTGGTTCATAACAGTAAATCCACGATTCGTCACCACTAACAATGCTGTACACATTTTTTGAGTTCCCGGAATTGAAACGGTCAAGCGTTTTTTGACACCAACTAACCCTGGCTGCTTTCTGCTCTTCAGTCAACAGGTGGGGTATCCAACAAGCAACTAATTTTCTTACTCCTAATTCTTCATGTAAAATTTATTGAATTGAAGTCTTTGAGATCTTCAAGGACGCCTCAATCTCGCGATATGTCACATGTGTATCTTCAATGATGAGTTTGCGCACAGCATCGACGTTCTCCTGGATGACTGTCGTTGTTGGTGCACCCACCCTGGGATCGTAGCTAAGACTCACCCGTCCACGTTTGAATTCTCCATACCAACGGAAAATTGTCGACTGACGTGGCGCTTCGTTGCCGAAAACAGACAGTAACTCAGCAAGGCGTTCTTGTTGCGATAATTGTCTCTGAAAGTTGTAATAAATTATGGCGCGAAAATGTTCTCGGTTGAGTTCCATTTTTCTAATGACTTGGTGAGATTCAGTACTGACGTTCGATCCGCGGGGCCTACTATGTTTCTATATGCAAAACTTTAAAGACATCCCTCGTACTTCCTTATCTTTAAGGCTGGGTGCCTGAGATCTGAACTCCACTTCATGATAGTCTTACTATCTGAGCGTATCTAAGCCTTCAAACTCCAACTCAACCGATTTGTAGTCGGTATAGTACGGTACCAAAATGGAAGAGGAAAGCAGAGTAGCATAACACATCGTACGCTACTGCTACCACGGTGAGCTTTTTGAACTGACAGATTCGGTGCTCGCGGATACCACCGTACCACCGCATTAACAGTAGCGTACGATGTGTTTTTTTACTTTGGTCCATTTTGGTGTCAGACTATAAGATTGATTCTTTTCTTTTCTTTTTGACTTACTTAGTAGTTTTTCGCTATCTAGCTCCTTGCCTGTGCAGCCTTAAGTTATAAAAAAGTTGGTAAGTAGTAACTATGACCAATTAGTCGAACTCAGAGATCAAAAAGCATATCAAATACTGACAATATAATTGCGTATCGCCGAAGGATATAATGTGCGAGACCAATAATTTGTATAGAATGTTTTTATTATTAATACTATATGTCACAAAACATTCGATTTTATATCACGGTCATGGCATTTAGAACTCATTTCATAAATACTTTCAAATATCTAGTTACTTGGTGTCAAACTGACGAACCCAAATTAATGAATGCAGCAGAGACTTGGTTTGGGCTAGTCCTTCCAAAGGCAGAGGTTTGTTTTTGATAACAATTAAAACCATTTCAAACATTGGGGTATTCACGAAGAAGATCTTCATGAGGAGCTATACTTGAGATTACTTATTTTGCAGACCTAAGATATTTCGAAACCTAAATTTCAGTTGTAAAACTGACACCATGACATTGACAGGATACAATCTCAAATGACATTATATAGCGGCAGCTGCTAGGGAAAAGCTTGGTTATTTGTTTAGGGAAAGTACTTTTCTCCGCATGACCTTCTCTCTCTATACAAGGCCCAGATAGGGCCTAGCCTCGAATATTGCTCACACGTTAGGGGTACTGCCGCCCCGACTACATTGTTTATGCTGGATGCTGTCCAGAGGAGGGCGGTCCGACTGATCGATGAGCCTTCTCTAACAGACAGTCTCGGGACCCTTTTGCACTGGCGGGCCGTCGGCGATCTAGCTCTTTTCTACCGCTACACCAACGGCTTTGATCCACAGGGCTCTCTTCCATGATGCCGCCGCACGATGTGCCTGCCAGACAGACCCGCGTGACTTTGGCGTCCCACCCTAAACGTGTCGAGGTTGTCGAGATTGTGGAACAATCTACAAGAGGAAGATTTTCCCAGTTCTACTAACCTTAAGCAGTTCAAAAATCGTACCAACAAAATTTCTTTGGGATCATCATAGCAGCCGCGCTGTCCCGGCATTTAGGCTTCTTCCTGCGTGGCTGCTTCGGTATAAAAAAATTATTATTATTACTGCTATAGGTAATTTTCTTTTTTCGTTATTTACCTAGGTGGAGAAACATGCGACTTCTCAATAAGGCATTGCGGTGAATAAGGCGTAAACAGTGGTTATTGCACATGGCTTATAATCAACTGACAATTATAACTGCCATTTTTGTACATTGAAATGCAAATTATAGCTAGATGTATACAAAAAATATAGTTTATCAGCCAATCAAACAATTAATACATCAAATCGAGACAGGCTATGTTTGGTCTGTATCTTATACTATAATTTGAAATATTGAATTAATGTAAACAGTAATTACGTTGTCGTTTAAAGGAGGCTTCATTCTATAAATTGCATAATTGATTGCCTTGCAGCGTACAAGTAAGGAAGATGGATGAGCGTATTCATGTCTTCATTACTTCAAATCATTTATTCATCTGTTATAGCATGGCAGGATGCAAAATGGTATGGAATGTATTTCATCCCAGTCCCTGTTTTGCTCTGAAGAGAAACGAGATGCTGATGTAGCGATGCTACCAAAGAGTGTCCCAAGCTTTACGCAAGATTTGAATTACACAGAAAACGGTTCTCCTTTTTTAAATTGGTAGTTTTTGTTTTTCTACAAGATGTCAACTTAGAACTAGTTGTTGTTCACTTGATGTGCAATCGTTCTGTACCTGTACGTGTTGCTTAAACGTCATGACGCTTCGGCTATCAATGTAATGTAACATCTGGCATTATTGGAGGCCTAAGCTGTAAGTCGTATACTACAGGGTTTGTCCGGAAAGTAATAGGACTCATTTTCTTCCGCCATGACTGTACTTCGGAGCTTGCGCACACCGACTGGATTCGGTAGAGGGCGTTCCTAGCTAACGAATGAGCGGCTGGTGAGTTGTCTCCGAGCACTTGGAGAGTCAGGACAGGCATTTTCGTGCGACGTGTTTCTGTGAGTGGTGCAAGCCGAAAATGCAGCGTTCGTTAGAGCAGAGGTACGCGATTAAATTCTGTGTGAAACTCGGTAAATCTGCGACAGAGACGTTTGATATGCTCAAGCAAGCTTACCCGGGTGTTGCTTTAGCAAGAAGTGGTGTGTTTCGGTGGCACCAGGCCTTTTTGGAGGGCCGGAAAGAGGTCGCTGATGAAGATCGTGCTGGAAGACCTTTGACTTCGACAAACACCGATAATGTAACTCGTGTGCGCAAAGTTTTGAACTCAGACCTTCCACTAAGTTTAATTGCCTAGATGTTAAATTTACTAAAATATGTGGTTCACGACATTGTGACACAGCATTTGAACATGCGCAAGGTGTGCGCGAAAATGGTCCCAAAAGTTCTCACTGTCGACCAGAAATTGCCGCGAGTGGAAGAAGGAGCCTATTTTGAAAGTTTTTAAAGAATTGTAACGATTGGCTCAATAAATTTTTTTAAATCGTCTCAGTCCTATTACTTTCCGGACAAACCTTGTATAGCTGGTGAGGATTTGTTGGTTTCGTTGGTTTATTGTCTGTTCTTGAGATGTATGCAAAGCTAGAAACTACTTTTTATTAATCATCGTGGTAATTACATATGCAAATTTGCTAAATTTAAAAAATAACAGAGAAAAGAAAAGAAAATCCCTGGTTGGTGAAGCATATTGCAACTTACAGGTGAAAAAATAAGGTATGTTACGTGCAAAAATTATCACATTTTACATTATTTTTTATTCCCAGCCATTTAAATTTTATACAAATTTATTTTGCGATGTCAAGTAGAAAATACAAATCGTCGACTAGATGTGCGAAAATGTTTTGTGTGTGATGCGTCGTTCCTAATTTTTCTGTGATCAGGCTTAATTACACACTACGCGGGCGCGGTTGAACATAATAAGGTCTCTTCAGAAAAGACAACACAAATAACCCGTCTGGCATAGCTAATAGATATTCTTCATGAGCAGCATATTTAGTAATGACTTTCTCATGCGGCAAATATTTATGACTTTAAACATATGCAGACCAATATACACAATTCACCCAGATGTGATTTTGCTACTCACCCAATATTCTTTCTCTCTCATCATCTCAGAGGTATACTCTACAGACTATGTCGGCATTCTGCAGACAACAAAGCATGCTGGGAAACTGATTTGCAGCATGGTCATTGAGCGTGTCTTTGAGTCACTCCTCTATAGGGGACGCTATTGGTGACGATCACTAGTTACACACTAGGAACTATGTAGTCAGCAAGATGTCATTTTGTCGCCGTTTTTTTGACATACAGGTTTTTTACGTAATAACCCTGCTGGTCTGGATGACTGGAGGGTCGCTGATTCGACCACACTACCCATGCTTGATGCATCTTCCGAGAAATATTGTATGAATGATCGATGACACTTCCCTTCACTTTGCCGAACTGCAAACATTGAGCACTAACGCCTACTTATGCACTGTTTTCAAAGCGACAAGCAAATATGAGGTTACTTGCATTTTTAGAAATGTCATACACTGAAAACCAAATTTTTCTGACGGCTTGAGTTCAACGTGTACGAGAGAGAAGTGTGCATAGACACATATTTTAGAAAGACATAGAAGCCGGCTAGATAGCTCATCACGGCGTTGCCTAACAACGCTGACGCTGTAATTTGCCACGCTGCCAATATATTACACAATTTCCTTTAATTAAGATGCATGTTGGAAATATGCATTAGTTTATTCTCTACGCCAAATAATGGTTTTATTTTGAGCGTACACATTTTTGAATTGTGAATTGTGTCGAATCTGTTTTGAATCGATTCCG